AAAGAAATACTTTTTTTGGTCACATAAATCCTCAAAATTAGTAAAATGGAAAAGGAAAATAATTATATGAATATTTGGTTTTGGGCACAAAAAAATAAAAGGATCGAAAGTAAGGTCACAGAAATGTTCAAGTAACGCCATTACAAAATGTCGAATGGTACTACGCACAAACAATGTCACCGTGCACGGGTGGCCAGTTGACCGGCCGCGCTTGCGGGCATATCCCGGTAGTCGACACACGGAAAATCGCTCTGCACTCTATCGTTGTGGAACAAATGAGCTCGACCTTTCGTAAGGTATTTCCAACCCAAACTTGTCAAAAATGAACGCTAGTTTCTTGTAGATGTACCAGAGATCATTCAAAATGCCGTTCAAAAACTCTGGCTCCCTTTGGAATATCATAACTTCCAGAAAAACGGTGTAATTTCACATAGGCCTACCCACTGTTGTCTGGCTGCACAGTATTAGATCGCGCACAACACAAGTCTAGTACATAACATTATGTACCGTACGCGTTATGCGTAGGACGGGAACCGTCGCCCACACACCACACTCAACACGTGTGCTTGGGCCGCCCATTTGGAAGCTCGTCCATTTTATCGAAAATAGGGGTGTTGGTATTACAAAGTAGGTGGTTTTAATTGCTCAGCCCATCCATTTCATAATTGTTTTGTGTTTTCACTTCATCGGAGGTTTATTTATTTAGTTTTACATTATAAATATTTATAAACTAATTTATAAACTGATCTCAACCGAAATTATTATTTCATTTTATTCACTTAACGGCGGTGCACGTCTGAATGACGATCCTGCCATAACCTTGATCATAATGGAACGTGCTACATGTCGTTGATGAAAAGAAAATGGCTACCATGTATTTGTTGAATTGTTTTGCAACGAAATCGTTCAAACATCGGGATGACAAGTTAAGAAATCAAGTATATAAAATTTGGATTGACAAGATTTTACTGTTGGCTTTTATGTAGAAAAACTTACAAAAAAGCTTACAAATTTACCCAGGAGCGCTATAATTCGCGCGCCAGAAACGTGTTAAGGAGCGCGAAGGAGCGCGATCGCGCTTGCGCTCCTTAAAAATGAAGGCCTGGGCATTAACTACTGTTTCATGTATTGTCTTGGCGTCTATTTTATGTAATGTTTCGGCGGTCTGAATGTCAAATGTTCATAGTTGCTTGTCTTCAGTGTTGTAGTCGAGACCGGATAGTCCGAGACCGAGACCAAGACCGAGACCTGAAGATTCGAGACCGAGACCGAGACCGAGACCGAGACCAGCCCCTTCAAGGCGGACCAAGACCGAGACCAATATGGTCCGAGACCGAGACCGAGACCGAGACCGCTGATAATAAATAACAATAGTCGAAATAAAAAAAACAAGACACGTTATTATAGTTGAAAAATGTAACCTTTCTATTCACAAAGAATACAGACCAAATTTTGACCAGTGGCAATGTTTACAAATTGATACATGACACCTTACTTGAGCAAAAAGTAGTTACACTTAAGAAATATGGGCTTTGACATGTTGTCTACACCCAATCGTGACAAAAGTAAAAAGTTCAAGGTAGATGTTTCATCTGTTATAGGAACTCGGATCCTAAACTCCACAGTCACCCCCTTGGTTTCAGCTATGACTTCTAACGGATATTTAAAGATGCAATTTTAATTTTACATTGTGCCTCTTTTTTCCTAAAATAAATATAGGAGTTAACTTCTAACAAGAATTGTGTATTTGGTTTTAAAAAATGGGAGCTAGAAAATGTTGAATTAATTTTTAAATTTTTGTCATAGAATGTGGACTTGTACATGTAGACCCACAAGTTGCGAGGTGGTAGCCAGAATGTGCCAGATATTGATTTTTAATTTTTTTCTGAACGGGATTTTTAATTTTTGAGGAATAATGGGGTACTTTAAAATGAGCAGCCAGAAAATGGGGTCTCATCATACACTCTCATGGCAACAGTGAGTGGTAACTGGTAAGAGTGTGTGAGTTCAAAGCTGGAAAATCAGGTAGAAAAATTTACTTTTTCTTCAAAATACTGTCCCAAATTAAAGAGAACATTGTGTGGGGTCGAAAATATAACTTATTTGAAGCACCTCATTTATTATCAGAATACAAAATGCAAGTGATTACGCCCACAGGGGTGGGCTAAACTACACAATCCCCAAAAATGGTTGACCCTTATTGCATAAATTGTTACAAGTTTATACTTTGCTTTATGTGGCCGACTCAACAGATAAATGCCGAACTTGTTCCAAATCGTTCAGTGACTGGTACTGCTGCAGTTTTACATGTACTTTGGGAACTTTCCAACGTGCAGTCAAGTCCAAACCGACCGCGATATATAACAAGCTTGATCTACGGGCTAGCAAATGTTTTAAATAACAACGGTACTGAACGAAGTGAACACAAAGTAATCGATCGAGCTGTAAAAGCTACATATTGCCGGTCTCGACCCGAGACCAGCCAAAATATCGAGACCAAAGGGGACCGAGACCGAGACCAAGACCGAGACCACAGCTTCCGAGACCGAGACCGAGACCAGCAAAAAGTGGTCTCGAGACCGGTCTCGAGACCGAGACCGGTCTCGAGACCTACAACACTGCTTGTCTTACATTCTTTTGCCGATCTCAGCCACATTTAGCAATGGTCACCTTGTGGTCAGTGCGAGTCAGTTTCCAGACAAACTGTTAAAACGACAATTTAGGCTGATATCCGTGCTTCGGGAAGCACATTAGCTCTAGTTCATTTTTGTGTCTTTGGACAGTGTAAAAACCAACAGTTTTTGGAAATTTAAAAAAAAAGAATGGCGGCCATCTTCAAAATAAAAAAATATAAAAAGCACCGCCTTTTCCCTTGTTTTCAAAAACCCTGACGCTGAATAGGTTTTTTTTTTTTTTACTTTGCCTGAGATGGACCAAATCGCAAACATGTGATGTGCGATCAGACGTGTGTAGGTAGTTAGCATAGCCTGCTGTCATTCACAAGCTTTTTCATGAAGGAATGGGAGGAGCCTATTTATTTGAGGCTCCATAGCTAGTGCGGCGCGTGGGGTGTGGCCAGGCTGGGATATCGCGACATGGCCAGGCGGGGATTGCTACGCGATCGCGGGCAAGTGTCGATGGAAGGACGTATGGTAAGGGTGAATTCAGCCGCAGGTCATGGGAATGCATGGAGAAAGAATTACGCGAGCAGTAAACTTTACTATTTGAAATGAACCCAGCTGGATTTGAAGCTGAGATAGCTTTTTATTTTGGCCCCTCAAGAAGTTATCTCGGAAACAGGGCGCCGCCATCTTTAATTGAAGGGAGACCCTAGTGCGTTTTTTTGACGCTAGCCGGCAACTTCGGGACCAAAAAATCTGCGTACGTGTATGGATGTCGGGAGCTGGCCATGCAGCCCAGGGGATCGCTGAATGACGGAAATTTTGCAAATGTTGGGTTCGCGGTGACTAATGACGCTGTCACAGTTAGAAAAATGGCTTCCGGGAAATTTAAAACGTAATCAGAATTATCTGCGCTGTTTTTTTTAAGGATTACGTAAAAAAACAAACATCTGTTTTAGCAAGTTCCTGGGCAGCCAACCTTTTTACCTTTCCGTCTGTGCATTTATTTTTGGAGTATTATGAAGATCACAATGGCAGACTCACACTACAAACCTCAATTTTAAACACAGTTTTCATATACAAGTCGGCCATTTAGGCAGTTTAGCCAATATGAAGGAAAAGTTAACTTAAAAACATGCATAAATTGCAAAACCTTTTTGACCAATAGTTGGCCCACGCCGTTTGGTCTACGTGCTCGCAGGTTTGGCTATTTTCAGGTTCAGCTATTATCAGCTATTTTTTTTTAGAGCTCCACTCTCAACCCTGTGTTGAGGTCACTTGTATTTTTATGTATAATAGATCCCGGTATAAGTACATATTAAGTTACAACCAAATCAGACCTATGGTTCTGAAAATACACATTTAATGTGACGTCACATGACTTCTGATGACGTTACTTAAATTGTTATCTATAACAAATCCCGGTATACCTACATATCAAGTTAAAACCATATTGAACCTATAGTTCTGTAGATATAGACATTGGAAAATGCAGAGTCTATGTCACTCTACTTACCTGTAGACAACTTGCATATTTCCCTAGACCTGCACAGGATTTTTTTAGTGGTATACTGGTTAATCGGTTGGTAGTTTCACACTGTGGCAAGTAATAAAAAAGACTGTTAAAGTGGGCTGTTTTATAAATGGAAATTGAGTTACGTCACAATGTCGTCATCACATTTCATGTGGCGTCACATTAACGATGCATTTTTAAATGTCAGTCTACTGAACTGTGTGTCCAATTTGGTTGTAACTTTGTAGATACCTAGACCAGGACATGTTATAGATGAAAGTCTTAGGAGTATCTGCACAACCAAAAACTTTTTAAAATTGACCTCATGGTTTTGTAATTATTTAAAAAAAAAACAAGAACTTACTGATTCAATTTTTTTTTTGGGGGGGACCTAATGAATTGTTTTTAATAGTCTTAAGAAGCCGATTGATTTGGGGGCTGACAGGTCAAAGGTCAAGGTCACTATTCCTTAAACAAGAAATCTTGTCAACATGATAACTTCAGTAATACTTTACTTAGGAACTTGAAATTTGGTTTGTGGATTGTTCTTGATAGTCTTAAGAAGCCTATTGATTTTGGGGCCGACAGGTCAAGGTCACTATTGCTCAAACAATAGAAATCTTCCATTTTGGTTAGCGACACTGACTTTATACCGACACTGACTTTATAAACAAAAAACTATCAGGATGCCAGGGGGATTGTGCAAGTCTCACTTGCAGTACTTTTGGTTTTATCCATCCTGGAAGTTCAAAAAGCATTGACCTTTGAAGTTTGAAGGTGCCTTTTAGATTTTATTTAAGAAATGAACAATTTTCTGTATTCTATAATTTATAAGTCTGTTTTGTAATTTTCTACGTCTTTTCCAGATTGATTTTCAGTCATGCCAAATTTGCAATATTCAGAAAGGAAACCTGAATCGGATTTTTCCATTTGCCCAAGTAACAGACTATGAAAGTGAGGTATGTATGCATGTCATTTTATCTTAATTGAATACTGCTTCTAGTGCTGCACTTGTAAATACAAGTGCAGCACTAAAAGCAGTATTCAGAATTTGATTTCTAACTACTGAGCCCAAGGCGCCTGTAGTATTCAACCAGATATTACTTTTCTTGCATTTGTTTCGAGATGTTAACTTGTGTTTTGAGTGAATCACTCAGAGTTTGCATGTGGGCAAACTCTGCACACTGTAGGTTGGTGGATGTTGAGGAGCCATCCGCTCTACCAACACTGAATGGTTGCCGGTTCTGTGCAATATCACACCCCCTCACATCCATTGCAGGGCAGCAACTAGCAAGCTCCTGTCAAGGATCGTGACCAAGACACTCCCCATTTCCCAGGATATCAACCATCCTCCCAGACAGCGGAGCCTACATTTTTGTACCTCGTAATTTGGACCAACCCTGGAACAACCTATGATAGCTGCCAACTTTGGCAGGAAGAATGCGACAGGAGCAACCCCAGGATCAAGGAGCTGATCGCCGACCTTACTGTTCGACTCCCTGGTATGGACCTCCTGAGCAACCTCTGGACCAAGTTGAACCGGGCTGCACTGGCGGTTAACCTGCAGGGCTACCCTTCTCAGGTGGAACAGGGGTGTGTCTCCTCTCTGTACCTGCCGTGCTGAGGAGAAGATGGAACAAATTGTGGAGGAGTACCCTCTTTAGCGGTTTCAAGGTGGCCTCTCAGCACTTTACCTCACAGATGACCCGGCAGTCATGTGGCTTTGCCAGGCAACCATTGGCAAATAACATTCCGACAATGGCAAACAAGGAGAGATAGGAGAGAGAGTAGAGAGAGTGACTCAGATTACACCTAGTAGGGTGAACTAAAATTTGTCCAAAAAATGCAATTAATGCATGCAATGTCAATATTTTTAATATTCTTAGCATTTTTCTGTTGGTATACCGGCACATGTATGGCTCACACTGTTTTACAACATCATTGGCACTAATAATGGCTCGATCTGAACCCAGTCGTAAATTACCTTTCTTGTAAAAAACTGCCCAAACAAAAATAATTAGAAAAATACTTTGAAAAGTAGACAAGGTGGGCAGCAGGCCAATCTTGCCGCCTGGGGTGATCAGGCAACACGAAGCTTGTTTGTAAAGGCTGTTTGTAATCATGGACCATGGCAGAAACCTTCAATGATAAACAGCATGCTATCCCAGCAGACATTTTGTTCCTGCCACCTCTGACCTCAGTAACCTTTACCCCACCTCTGATCTGTCTGACCTTGCCCCACCTCTTACCTCTCTGACCTTTTCCCCACCTCTGACCTCTTTGACATCTCCCCACCACTGACCTCTCTGACATTTTCCCTATTTCTGACCTCTCTGACCGTTTACCCACCTGTGGCCTTTCTGACATGGATCATATTCCACTAACCCTTTCCTCTGACCTCTCTCTGAAGGAAGTTTTTGATTCAGGTCCCGTGACATTTTGTCTCTCTGCATCCCCACTATGCAGCAATCATAGCTGATCTTTCTCTGAGACATATAGGGCTAATCTGAAACCCCGTTCTGGAGTAAACCCGCAAACATAGAAACACCAAAATGCGTATGGAGTGCAGCTGGGTGCTCATTCAAGATGGCAGCCACCACATTAAAAATGCCACATGAAAAGAAAGAAAGCCTAATGCTATGATGAAAATAATTTAAATCCCAGATAGCAGTGAAAATTGGCAAATACCGGCCCACTTTATGCTCACATACAGTTTTATTTTTTATCATTACTGCTCACTGCACTGAATAAGTGTGTCCATTTTATGCACAAACAATAATGCAAGTTGCTGTATCCGCCATCTTTGTTCTTGACATTCTTTCTCGTCATTCGAAACCCTGTTCTCATGTTCATTCAACACAAGAACAGGGTTTCAAATACACCCTTGGTGTTCCTTCGGAGCCAGTGAATGACATGCTCTGACCACAGCCTGCTGGTTGCTTTAATTCGTCGGTTCAGTGTGTGACATCGCGTAGCTGCAATTAGCTGAATAAGAACATGTCCCGGACACTGATTTTGGTCGCAATTCAAAACATGACTCGGCAACTTTTGCATTGAAATTGAGATCCTGGAATATTGTTTTTCTTGGAATATACAGCATTTACTGAGCTGAAACTTGTTAAGCACACTTCTTTACATTTTGAGCACTGTTGTTACTTCAAACGAAAAAAAAAATGCACAAATGACAAATGATGTACTCTACCTTTAATGGGTTTGTCCAAAGTGATGGCTGTTTTGTGTCTTACAATGGGGTCATTCAGACACCATTTTAAATTCCCTTTAAACACCGGTTGAACTCGATTCGGCATAACTTTCTTGCTAAACTGATGTCTGAACGCTTTAATATTTAGACCGAATCGAATTCAACTCGTCGCTAAAACGGAAAGTTAAATCCCCTCGGAGGGAGGGTTCATCTCTAAACCAGAACAATTTTATTTTGTAAAATGATGTATGAACCATTTTAGCTAAAACTCTTCCCCTTTTAGCCAGCGCAGTGACCCCGAGTTACGTAACATTGTTAAACAAACAACGTACCATGGGCTACATGATGGGCACAAAGCACCTGTGAATCTCCTAATTTTTCTACCGTTCATGAAAAAAAATCAAACTTCAAGTCCATTCTCCGCAAGCTTTTTTACCACATGGTCGGAGTTTCACATTGTGCTCACTCGCACATACGATGACAAACATGTTGATGCCAAAGCAACAACCGCTAAAGCCTCTTGTCAATAAAAAGTCAGCTGACTGTCAGCGGATGTTCGCTGAATTCTGGCGTTGCTAACGGCCAACAGTTCGCGAACCTTCACGAACGATGTAAACTCATGCCTGACCAAGTTAATGAGGTAGTCCCCGCTCGTGTGTTATTGTTATTCTAATTCCCCTACTGAATAATTAATAACATTGGACCTCTTATCTGAGTATCAGCGGAGTCAGCGACCTGAAATTATGCTTGTTTGCCAAGTATGTGAGTATAATAGGCAATCATCCAGCCGATTTGCCAAAAGAAATAACAAACTGGAGATCATTGTAACACTGGGAAAATCTGTTGAATTCAACTACGATATAAAAAATCTGGACGGATCCCTCTATATTGACTGCACGTTCCAAGACAGAGTGTGGGGAAATGGTTTGTGAAAAATAAGTCAGCTCTCAGGCTACCTTTACAATTAATTCAAGGCTGAATGACAAGGGGAACATGACGACAGCGTGCTTAGTCTGTGTACCTTGCAAAATATGTATGCACAGTGATGTGCAAGGGCATTATTTTTTGTGTCTCTATGGACGTGTAGCTTCCACACCACGGACCATTTGGAGCTCCTTACAAAAAAATCGCAATTTTACTTCAGGTTGTCCAGCAAATGAATTTTAGGGTGCGCTGCTTGTTTGTTTTCCGACACTATTCTTTCCTCTATCAGGCTCCATGGTCGATCACAACGGTGGCGTGGGCATAGCTCCATGGTGTACTTGACAAGCATTCTGAAGCCATTCTAAGCTTTTGGCGGTATAGTTGCATCGCGGGACATTTTACTGTAATCTTTCTTCATGATGTTAATGATTGCATTAAAATTTAACCAGAAAGTTAAGTGTCACGTTCCAAGCACTGATGAAATATGAGTTGAATTAGAGTTCAAATTTTTTTTCTGCTCTGGAAGATTATTGTTACTGTAGCCTGCATGGTCTTGATGGAAATTTAGTACTTTTAATAGAATTTTTCTGGTTTAATCACCAAGATGGAAAATGCATCTGATATTCGTAAAATTATTTTGATCATGCTATTGCAGCAGGTGGAGTTGTAAAGCAGCATCTGAAAAAGATTGACTCAGCGGCCAGATTTGGTTTGAGAATCAATTCCTTTCTCCTACTCTTGTCGGAATATCTGGTGTTTGCAGTGGAAAGAAAGTCAAAAATTTCCCCCGACATGCTGACAGTCACCCTTCATTGCCTTGAAGAGGCTTTACTGTCAAGTTTGGATCAGTTCATAAGAGTCTCCCTAGCAACCCAGCAGTTCGTCGTAAAAACTTAATAGATTTCATCTGTATTCCTAATGCAGGGGCAAGAAAGAAACTAGAATCACTGCCCCTCCTGTCTAGCGACCTCTTTGAAACTCCAAGAATTCCTAGAGACAGAAGCCAAACGAATCAAAACCGCTCCAAGATTGTACCGGCCCCCTCGCTATCGTTCCGGACGTCCCAACTACTCCGGCTGCCTTCCGGTTTTTACCGATCATTTTATACAGGTTTTTCCCTGTTCTAAAATTATGTCATCCACAGGGCTCCCAAAGAAATAGTCTTCAGTGATTTCCAAATTCAGATACACCTGAAAGACTCAGCTAGGTGCCGCCGTGGGGATACCGATGGCCACACAACCGCGTCCGCCGCTACTCCACCGGTCTTGTCTGCCGTATTCACTGCCCCAATACCCAGCAATCCGGGTGCCAAGGCCCCACCTGCCCGGGCAGTGATTCAACTTCGCTCACTTCAGCCCTTGGTTTCTATGAGTGGTTCATTTACATCAGAGTTCCCTTCTGCCTCTGGGGTCCTTCTTCAATCTGAGGCTGTTCTTCTCAGAAGCAGAAGAAGAAACGCATGTCGACAAATATATCCAACGATAGCTCTGTCGGCCACAAACGACCACCAAAAAAACAAAAACAAAATGCTCACCAGGACAAGGCCTTACTTCAAGAAATTCAGAACCTGTCTGAAACCTTGTCAGCCTTCTCCAAGCAGACTGCCGTGGCTGATCAAGGCTTGTCTCCTCAGCCCCTGCGGGCCCCAAACCCTTACATACCCCACACGTTTTCCCGTCCTCCAGACACTCCAGTCATGTTGGTATTTGCCCCTAGCTCTCTCCGTGCTCCTACGGGCTTGCTTTCTGAACCTCCTGCCCAGGACCAAGATGTTTCCTCTCCTCTGTCACCTCGTTAGGCCTAACAAGAGAACACAACTATGCCAACCTTCATGACCACGCTTTATTGCCGGGTACGAGACATGGCGCATATGTTGGGGTTCTGTGAACCCCACACCTACTACACAGCCATGAGCTTACTACACAATGGCTCCTGACTCACTAGTCACCCACAATCCTACTCCAGTGGTTTCTTTCGATCAAGTTTGTTCTTTCGAGTCGGTGTTTGACCAACCTACAGTGCATCGTCCTCCTCCTCGCCCGAGTTTGTACTCCTTCCTGGCAAATGAGACCATGCCTACTGTTGCTGATGACATGCGTGATACAAATAATCGCCAACTCTGGTCATCAGGCCTCGACTGCGTCCCTGGTACCGGACGCTACCTGTAACCGCAACGAATGGCACTTCGACACTTTGACAGCCCCGCTCATTTCGGTATCACCCACACAACGTTGTTGCTCCTACTGTCCGAATACTTATTTCAGGGGTTGTCAAACCATTCCAACCGACATGCTAGGCTCCGCCTTTCGCTGTCTGGACAACTCACCTGGGGCAGTTCTCAGTGAACTTAATCGAGTTTGCAATCACAGCATAGAAGCATGACGGGCAGCAATTCTTGATTTAGTTTTTCTGCCCTTGAATGGAACTCGCAATGTCTTGAGTCCCTTCCTTTCCAAGGGTGAGACCTCTTTGCTGGCCAGTTTCAGACTGCTATGGAGAAGATCTTCCCAGTTGTCCACAGCCGTCAAACAGTGGTGTTCATTCCACCGCTCAAAGCCCTGCAAATCCATGGGCCACCTTCTGTCCTTCAGCCTCTGCCCAGAGACAATGGGCCCCCCAATCACAGAACCTGTGAGAACCCGTTTGACCCTTTTCGACTGGGTCCTGGGACCAAATCACTTCAGTCCGGTGGGTACTTGACACCGTCTCACTTGGCTACTGCCTAGAGTTCACGAGTGCCCCCTTGTTGGACACACATGCCTGCCAGACTGAGGGTCTTCACCAGAATTATGAAGACACTGGCCAGTGCCCTCCAACGTCAAGTTCTAAAGATGTTCATAAACCTCAACGGATTCATCATCGGGGAATAGGGGGCATCAACAGCTCACACAGTCCGTCAGACCCGCTCAATCACCAAGGGCCTGGATTTCTCATCAATGAGTCCAAAACCCAGCCAATCATATTCCATCCAACGACTCACTTATTTCGTGGCCGTCCTCGATCTACATGTAAAACGGGACACGGCTTAATGTTTATCAATGTGCTTTCCCCTACGCCTACTGTTGTCAATCTGTTGTCACCCGCTATGACAACACAACTAAGGTGTTCGCCCCATGAACTTGTTTGCCTACGCTTTTTCCTCGATCTCTCTACTAACATGAGTATTTGGTAAGATTGAACAGGATACCTACAGGGTCTTCCTGGTTGCCTCATTTTAGCTCTGACAACCGTTCTTTCCATGACTTGTCTACCATTCCTCCGCCTTCTCAAGAGGCTGCTGCTATCGCAGCCCGTAGTTGGCTTCAGTCAACCCAAATTGTTTGCGACAGCCGATTGTGGCATTCTATAAATGGTCCATACGGCGTAGGGTGGATCCCTTAGCTACAACTCTAACCGAAGTTGGCGATTTTCTTCTCCACCTCTACCAATTGGGTCTTGCGGTTCTCATTGTCTAGAACTATCGCTCCGCAATTGCGACTGTTTATTCAGTAGCCTCGCCAGGTTACTGTTCTTATATAAGCACTTTTCCTCCCCATGGCAGCCACAGTGCGCCGCAGTGAACTCCACGCCCTGACCATAGGTCAAGGACATTTGCATTGGGAGTTCGGCAGGGTCCGCCTGATCCCCCCATCTATCTTCCCTCACGAAGAACCAGTCGGCAATTTTGACATCTCAGCAGTACCAATCAGTGACAACTTTACCCGATTATTTTAACTGCCGATTCCTCTGGTTTACTTTGGTTTAATCTGGTTGACTTTGGGCTCACGCTTCCTTGCGGCTCACCTTCCACATCGTACACTCTCATGTCATGAGCAAACCCACCTACCTAAAACAGTGCTATTCTACATATGTAGTAATACTCTGCGGGTAAATTGAGCGCAGTAGAATTTCCCCCACAACCCCAACCGAAGTGTGGGCCAATTCTACTAGCGAATACTTACCTGTAGAGTGCCCTCCCCACTCTCACGTACGCGTTCACTTATGCACCTTACTCTCAAGAAAAGAGGAAGTATGGCGGGGGCGGGGCGGGCAGTTAGCAAGGTAATGTGGGTAATAAATCTTAGGGAATGGCTAGCACCCTCCAGGGAATAATGCAGAAATATGTAGTAATACTCTAACAGGAATTAAAGTATTTGCTAGTAGAATCTGCCCACACCTTGGTATGTAAGGTTAAGCATAAGCTCCGAAGTTTGCCTAACGTGTACATTTGTATTGTGAACAGTGCCCCCTTGTGTCTTGAAGTGTTCCCCCTCACCACCGGCTTTTTCTTTTCACCCATCCTTTCGCTCTTTAAACAATATGCTGGATGCACTGTTTTTCCCATCGGATGGAGCGAGGAACACGTATAGAATCACTCCCTCTTCTGGGTCCAGATTTATTTGCTGGGAAATTCCAGGACTCAATGGAAGCAGAAGCTAAGCAGATTGACGCTTAAGAACAAGTCAATTTTCGCAAGCCTGTTCCCAAGTCAGGTTCAGACTTGAAGACCTGAAAATCAACGGCGACCTTGATGCCCCATACAGACTTATCGAGGAAGGACCCATGATTGATTTACCACTTCCCAATCAACCAAACTTTACCACCAAAATCAATCCTTCAAGCCGAGTGGCCAGACAGGAAAGTTCCTAGCCTCTTGATTTCATGTAGTCTATGTAATAGAAAGTCTATGATATGTGAGCTGCTTCAGTGATAAATTATGCAAAAAAGACTGCGTCTTGACCTCGACATTCTGACCATTCAGGGGACGCTTTCTGTGTCAGATCTTGTCATGAATATCTATAAATAAAACCTACATACGACATCTGAATTGAATTGAGCTAAAAAGTCTGTGGTCACGCACTCTGTATAACAATAATAGAGCCGGCCAATCGTGTCTAACTTTTGTAGATCTATGACCCGGCTATTGTTGTATTACAAAAACACTGCATCCGAATCGACCAATCAAAAACTTGTGTCCAGATTTCAGAATGAAATGTCACGATTTAATAAAGTTGACTCTGATTGGCTGGTGTGCGGGTTAGCATAAATCTGCATGCTTAGATATCAGACATTGGACTGGAGATAGGACTCCGTGGACAACGGGTGATACTCAGACTAGGCATGACTTTCTACTGGCGGACCCCAATACCTGGACCCATAGGGGGCCTCCTTCAAAACTTCATAGGGTTGTGGTCTCAGGTTGTCTCCGATCGGTGGGTGCCCAAAACAATAGAACAAGGCTATACAATAGAATTCTGGAGCACCCCCCATCGAACACCATGGTTCACGAAACAGGGATTCCATCTGACCCAACTACACGCATGACCCTAGAGACTTGTAGAGATGAAATCTCTTCTTTGAAAGAAGGCGGTTCAAATAGTAGATCCTCGGGAAGAATGAACAGGTTTCCAATCAACTTTCTTCCTCACACCAAAAAAAAAGCAACAAAACATTGTGGCCAATCTTAAATCTGAAACCTTTAAACAGATTCTCTCTTCTGAAAAGATTTTGCATGGACTCCCTATGAGTAGTTCCAGAAACTTTTTCAATACCAGCATCATGGGCTGCATCCTTGGACCTCAAAGAGGCTTACCTGCATTTTCGAATTCATCCTTGTCATTATCAATATCTGCAATTCCGCTACAAAAAAAGTTACGTAACAGTTTACAGCCCTTCCATTCGCCCTTTCAATATCTCCCCGGTTCGTCACAAGGATTGTGAATGCTTTTGGTGCTGCCCTTCACAAAAACGGAATATGATGGTTTGCATACCGGTACATGTATCTGGACAATTGGATGGTAGTCAGTGGGTCAAAGCAGGAAGTTAACAAAGCATTTATTGTCACCCTGGGTTGGGTTGACTAGTAATTCACAACCAACTCCCACAGAGACCCTAACATTCCTGGGATCAGTAATAAAACATGATGGTCCCAGCAGCAGCTAAAACTAATGGGATTAATGGCAAGTATTGTTGACCTAGTGACCCCTCAAAGTATCTCAAAATCCTGCAGATATGTTTTCCTATGACCCTGTTGTTTAACCAACACACCCTGCTACACACGAAGAAAAACATCTCCCAAGCTGACAGAAGTTATACCAATCATGTAACCATCTCGACTTCAGCAAAACTAACTAATTACCTTAATAAAATTACAAGAGGGAGTTTGCAAACACTGGCAAACCAAATCATTACAGTGTATATACAAGAAGAGTAATTTCAAAATATTAATTCGCATTTTGACAATCAGAATCTTTGGTCGAAACTAATTTTCTTCTGAGGATATTGAAAATCTCATCAGAATTATGTGCAAATGATTTATCAGGTTTTTGAGCATATTTTTGATCATTTGAGCATATGCAATGCACAAAACAGGGTTTTGATCATGCTTTCATTTGTTGAAAAAGTATCACCAATGCTAATAAAAGTACCAAGATATAATCAGTATTTATGTAAATAGAAATCTAAATCACTTGATATCAATGTCATTTTTAGTATGGATTGTAACTCATGTCATTATTGTTACAGGAAGGACTGCGGTTTTTCATCTGTTTTAGAGGCCATCAAGATTATGAATTGGAAGCAGACACCCAGGAGGAGAAGCAGAAGGTATATAAGACCAATAATCAACTATTTCTCCAAAATTTTAAAAAATATTGTTTTCATAAGGTTAAATCAGTAATACTCATTAAGTTTCATGTTATTTTGTCTGTGTACTGCAGTTCTGTTTTTGAAATGGTTCAGAATAAGGTTTTGTATACATGTATATTCCAAAACAAAATGGAAAAAAGCCCCCCCCCCAAAAAAAAAATCCCCAAACAAACAAACAAACAAATAGACACCCCAACAAACCCAAACAAAAACCACAACCAACTAGAGCTTCGCGTTTGTTGTTACAAATGCAGAGTGGTCGGGTAGACAACTACAGTGTATTTTATGAAACACTGTCCAGTTAAGTTATGAATATTTTTTTATGTAAGAACATGTACAAAGGATAACGAAATTTAAACTGTCCGATAAAATTAATCATTTTGTTTAAATATGTTTCTTTTAGGTAGTGATCAATGTCAGTATGTATTTATTTTTTTTTAACGTAGAAAAAGTGAATATGGGTAGTGAATACTGATGTTATTCAGAGAGGATGCATGTTCATCGATTTGAATGTATTCATGTGTCCGATCATAACTGGAGCCATTTTAAATGGTAAACTGTTTTCAGCATGAACTCCCAATACCATTTGCCTGAAAAAAAAAACCCGAAATAATACTTACTATCCGAAGGTAAGTTTATAAACAGAAACAAACATTTATATTCGCCATATCGCCGCTCAGAGTTCGTACGAGGATGCCTTTTCGGGCCGCGCCACGAACAGCGTAAGTGCACACATTCTACTTTCCGAATCACAGTGTGCATGCAGTGTACAAGCTTAACCCCAGTTATGACACATTAACTGCGCATGCGCGCTTTTCTGTCTTGCCTTTTTTCAAGACGAAGACGCGCGCAGCGATCTATTTTAGTTGTACACGCGTGACAACAGTACTTCTCCTCAGACTTTCTCAGAGTCTACGTACTAATAACTGGACATGTACATGTACATGTACGCCCGCGAAAAGCAAACGAAAAGCCAGGCTACGTTCAGCGGGCGTGCGCGTCCTATGCCGTGGCCGAATGGCGACGCGCTATGCTTTCATTGAATTTTTGAGCGATGGACTACTATAAGGGTATTTTTGTCGGCGGCGGGTCACGTGTGTGAACAATTAGACAAGCCACGAACCTGGCACAATTGACGCCAATGTTTAAGCTATCATTCAATGGACAATTCACGATTATATCTCTCAGGATTGATTTATTTTTGAAGAATAGAAGGTCTTTTCGTTGTAACTTCCGGTCTGATGAGGTCATCAACTTCAAACTTCACACATGTGTTGTTTGCATGAAGGTCATTATATATACCAGTTTTCAGGCGATTGCAAAACACTTCGCCACAGACATCTATTCAAAATGCATTTTGGACATTCTTAAACCTGCCGCTAGAGGGCGGTCGAGAATTTCATGACGTCACTGGTACAAGTTTTGAAGAATATTGTCTGGCCAGAGACTAACACCGTTGAAAGCGAGTTCATATCTATTTCCAATTTTAAATAATAAGCCACTTCCGGTTTCGACCAGAAGCAAGGGTCATGTGATTTTACGTATACGTTAAAAAATAAAGACCTAATTTACTCTATCACTTGCCACAAACAGCAAGACAACAGATCTCATTATTGATTTTATATAGATTTTTAAAGATAAAAAATATCAAGGTTTAATTGCTTGTCACGTGACACCTGATGACGTCATCATGCCATCATTGTTCTGGCACAATCTTAGCATTCTGTCTTTGCTTGGTGTTACTTTGATGAAGATGCCCCATTGAAAAGTGGCCAAAAAGGTCCCTTGAAAAAGAAGGGCACAAAATGGAAAAAATGTGTACAAAGTCAATGGGCTTAAATAAATATTCAAAATTTCATAACAAATCACATGATGACGTCATCATTGCGTCCATCTTCGCCAACGACCTTTGCTATATGTTCTTTGACTATGTTAAGTTTCAATGTCATAATGAGTGTGCTTTATGACTAAAATGCTGACGAGAAAAATCGTGCGCAAATTCTAGGGGATTTGTTATAGAAGACCAAGCGTCTTGAGCACAAGACTACGCGCCACATGTTTGGCCCCATTCCAACAAGCATGACGATGATGAAATAATGGATCTGCACTGAATGCATGTACATGTACAATGTACAATGTCCTGTACATGCAGTGTACTCACGCACACCCAGCTCTACGCTTTCATAGAATTTTTGAGCGACGGACTACCATTAGGGTATTTTTGTCGGCGGCGGGTCACGTGTGTGAACAATTTGACAAGCCACGCGCCTGGCACAATTGACGCTAATGTTTAATCTATCATTTAATGGACAATTTAAGATTATATCTCTCATGATTGATTTTTTAGCGATTTTTGAAGAATAAAAAGTGTTTTTTTTGTAACTTCCTGTCTGATGACGTCATCAGCTTCAAACTTCACAAATGTGTTGTTTGCATGAAGGTCATCATATATACCAATTTTCAAAAGATTACAGCAAACTTCGCCACAGACATCTATTCAAAATGCATTTTGGACATTTTTCAACCTGCTGCTAGAGAGCGCTCTAATATTTCATGACGTCATCGGTTACAGTTTCGAAAAGTACTTTCTTGCCGAAGACTAACATCGATGAAAAGACGTTCATATCTTTTACCATTTTTAAATTACAAGGCACTTCCGGGTTCGACCGGTTTCGACCGGAAGTAAGGGTCATATGATTTGACACCCAGGAAGTAAATTGAAGACCGAGTATTATTCTATTGACTGCCGTTAAAAACAAGTTCCGGTCTCTCATGGTTGATTTTATATCAATTTGTAATGATTAAAAAATAGAAACACTAAATTGCTTGTAATTTGATACCTGATGACATCATCATGACGTCAGGACAATATGCACTACTCGGGATCAGGGTCGATATGTGTTCCAAGTTACAAGTTTATATCTTGAACGGTTTAGGAGTAAACCCGCGGAGAAGTATTGTCCGGGAAAAAAAAGAAAGAAAGAAAGAAAGAAAGAAACATTAATCGGAACAATTCTAGACAGTGGTCGGGTTGTGCCCGACCACTCAAAAAAACCCAACAGGGGATGGACACTGAGTATCTCAATCAGGGCCGTAGGAAGCAGTACGTCAGGTACGGCTATAGCCATACCAATAATAGGATTTTTTTCCAACATGTTATTTTGGGCCGAGTTTAAAATATTTTTTTTTGGTAAGAATATTAGATGAATAAATGGAAAAAAATCTGTTTATTTCCATCAAATATTATTGGCCCCTGCACGTTCATGTACATACGGCAACGGTAGATAGAGGGGTTGCTTGCCGCATTTACCAGCATGTTTATTGGGAGGGGTGTAATCATTCATGCAGCCACTACATTACATGTCAAGTCAGATGGGACAAGCTTTTAGGGGCCGCCAGTTTTAGGGAAAGCTGAAAAAGTATGCCTTATGTAAAAAATCTATTAGACAATCAGCTCTTAAACAATGAACTGATTGCTCTGGGCAGGGGTCTGAATTTTATTTCCACCCCTAGAAAACCAAAAGGACGACCATCCTTCAAAAAAATGAGACTAACTGTACGTTTAAAAATGGCAGGGAGAGTAAGACCTTCAAATTCGCATCCATTCAAACTGCCCTCCACTTGGAATCCCCAACCTATCTTCAGCTTAAATCTAGAATCATACATTGAAGGTACTTTGGAAGAATTATCCAGATTAGAAATCACAATTGTCTAATCTAACATAACAAAAGCAAAACGTATCCCTTTGATTGGTCTACAGAAAAGTCAAGACATAGTCGTTCAACCATTTGATTAAGGGCGCGGTGTTAGCGTTTTGAACAGACAAGACTGCATACATGAAGGGCTACGACACATTATGAAGAGATCGATAGGGATTTGACTGGAAAAACCGCGGAACAGATCTCTCAAGCCATACGCAAACTTCATATGGACGGAGTAATATTACCCCCCCCCCCAAAAAAAAGAACCATGACATCAAAACGCCTTGCCTTTACCACTTACCGAAAGTTCAGAAGCACCAAATGAAACACGGTTTGTGAGAGGCGAGTTATGTTTTGACAAGTTTAACCAACCCACCACCGCAACCTTGCAGTGGAACTGGATTTGACTTCCTAAATGTGTATTATGCTAAAGAGAAAACAACTTGACCAATGCGCTCTTGGCAATTCAACTATGTACCTACACTGGTATCCATACCAGTGAATTAAGTCTTAAATCAACGGAAATCTTCTCTACAAACTGGATGCGAGAAAAAGTTTTTAAAATTACATCAGCTGGCAGAGCCTCTCGTCCTCCAATTTGATTCACATCCCATAAAATGAAAAGAATGAGGAACAGTTCTGTTGATGCTGATAGTAAATCCCATTTTCCTCCCCCTTTATAAACTCTGATTCACGACGGAAAGTTTCTTGGGATTATTAAATTCATATCAACAGATTATTCCATGAACTTTGCTTGCACAAACCAGTTCTTCCTTTCTATTTTCTTAGCTATAAAACCACTTCTAGAGATGTAAGAGGATTGTATGCAAGCTTAAGGCATATTACTGCACGTGCAAAGTCAAACTTGGTCTTTCTAAATCACTTATTATGATAAGTAATGTCTTGGTTGTTCAATAAACTTTCAAACATGTCTTGTTTCATCATTTCAATTAATAAAAGTCTTGTTCATGTTCAACAACAACTATTTTAATAGAAATGTCTACTTTGTAGTAGCATCACAAAGGGAATCATAAAAGGGAATTAAAAAACACCAAATGGGCCAGTCTTAAGATAATTTTACTATTTTCATTATTCATTTTAAACCCGTTCCGTCACTGTAACAATTGCACTAGGTACTGACCAAAACTGTGCATTTACATATACTTATAGTGTTAGTAGATTGCATATCTGGTGTTGTGATGCTTAGTCAAGCCCAGGGATTACAAAGTAAAAAGATTGATACATGTATCTTTCAGTGAACCAACATCATGTTATATTTTTTAATATGACATTGACATTGTGTACAATCTATGAACAGACTTTAGATGATCCTCAGGTCAGGGAACAAGACTTCCAAAAAAAAAACACTCCCGAATTCCCCACAATAAATGTTATTATAAAACATGCAGTGTTGTAGTCAAGGCCACAACATCCAAGGCCAAGACCAAGTCCAATGCAACAACCTCAGAGGCGGAGGCCACAACCTCCGAGGCCAAGGCCAGCAATTAAACTCGCAATAAATCACTCAAACAAGGTTAAGGCAGTGATATCATGCACGCACGTAGAAAGCTGAAGCGCAGAATAGTACTAGATATGCTTCACGTTGCGCGAGCACGCTTGCATGCGAATAACAGGTTGGTTCCCTGTCCCCATTATCGCTTTGGCTAATGCCCACTTGTGAAGTCCACTCGTTCAGGGCCGAGGACCTGGACCAGGAACCAGTCTATAGCGGGAGTAGACTGAAACAAGAAGATGGTATCTGACTACCTAAATACATGCAATGTAATACAGATAGTGGCAGTTCATAGGTCAAGTGGTGGACCAGGAACCAGTCTATAGCGGGGGGTAGACTAGATGCTACATCTACGTACATAAGCACGTGCAATTGTGAGCTTTAATAGCTCCAATGTAATGCAAATGCCAGTTCATTCACTCGTGCGTATCTGCTTAAAATTTTATTTTGTTTCATGGAACCCATTGTGGCAGCTTCTCGAAAGTTTGATACAGTATAAAATTGAAATGAATTGAAACAGAAAATTCATGTGAATTGGTGTTACACTGAAAGAATATAATCTAGTCAACTGGACTTAATATTTAAACTTGCGACGGTTTCACGTCCTATCCCGGAGGCTTCTTCAGGCCGACTGATCTTCTGGCGGCAAATGGTTGATGACCCGTGACGGGATCAAAGAACTATCAAAACATTGAGGGATCTTCTTGATAGCTGAACTGTAGGTCCCCACCAAGTTGTGGCACAGACCCCCTCCTCTGTTGAGAGACGGCTCTTCACGTTTCACATATACAGCACTCCTTTCGAACCACCTTGCCTCTCTGTTCAAAATGACAACGTCCTTGTTGTCAAAGGAGTGGTTTGTGCTGTTGAGGTGAGTATATTCTGCAGAGTCTCCACAACCAGATGAGCTTGCTCGTCTGTGTTGATACATGCGTTTGGCCAATGTCTGTTTAGTTTTCTCCTATGTACAGCTCTTCACATCCATTGTCCTTACATTGAATAGTGTGAATTGGTGGGAAATTTGGTCAAAGTGGGCGGCCTCGACCAGATTCATAAAGTCCAGAAGGCTCTGAGGCCAAGGGCGAGGCCTTGCACTCCTGGACCATGGCTGAGGCCATGAAAATAGGCCGCGGCCGGCCTTGAGACCTCCAACAGTGAAAACATGACCGCTGAGTAGCTTCGTGGGATTTGTTTCCCGCCATTTCCCCCTCTTACTCTCAGAAAACACTTTGAAATTGCTGCATTTTTGTGATTAATACAATACTCATTGAGTGGTTATTTTAGCAAATCCATCATGTTCTAATAAAACAATGAACAACTCAATTGGCAGAAGTAGCAGAAATAGCAGAAGTAGGCCTATCAGCTGCACCTAGTTCAGGCAGCGTTGTAGACAATTACAATGGGTTTGCTTGCCAGTGATGTGTGCGCGCTGCTGTCTTGGAAAGAAATGAGATATGTTCCTTCGCTGGGGGCGCCCAACCAGCATGGACCGGTGGTCCGTGGTCCCCCCCCCCCCCCCCCCAGGTGCGTCTGTGTCCTATATACCACTCGGCCTTTGTCATCACTATAGCTGATGGGACAAAGACACGCTGCATTTTTTCATGTTCCATTCATGCTCATGGAATAACTTACAGTAAATGATTTACACACAAGTAATTTGTCAGTGATTAAAAATGTATAACCTACACTTTTTGGGAAGTGACAAAGTGTATGATGCATTACACTTTTATATTTCATGAATTTGTTTATGTTTTCACTGAGTCATTACTTGAGCTGTTCGAAAAATCATTTGTAAATTGGTGGTATAACCACATGTATGCCTTACATTTATGTATGCCATACCATTTCTCTATTCATTTGTTATGTTGAGAGAATTGCTTTCATTTTACATTTTCTTTGATTAACTTCAAATATTTACAGATATGCCGATTATTGTGCCTAATTGTGGAAAACAACAAGTCTTCTGCTAAGGGTCGTGTCCTTACCCAAGCAGACTTCCGAGGAACTCTAAGACGCTGTCAACAGGTTGTCAAGGAAGGATTTTTGGAGAAGAAGAATCACAATCTGTACACCACATATACAAGGTTTGATTTTGATAAATGCACATTTGTGTTATTTTCTTGTTTTGTTTACATTACTTAAATTCTGTGTGTTTATATATTACACAAGCAATTATTTTAACATTGTAAGATTACAACATTACAATAAAATAAACAGTGCCCTAGAAAAGGAACAACAATGACATACTCATAAGATGGAATTTTGCGTCGGGGTGATGTAAATCAAATTAGGTTTTGCCCTTCACCGACGTATAAACACTGTATACTCAGTGTGTTACCTCCCAAGTGAAAGTTGGAAATATCACTCGGTGTGGGACTCGAACCCACGACCTCCTTCTTTCTGCTTTCTGACAACGACATAAAGAATAACTTTATTTTACAATAAAATGAAAAAGTTCCTAAGTTAAGATACAAATACAATAAACTCTTGTTAACTAAAACTTGGATAACTCAAAATTCCATTTATCTCAAAGTAATAGTCCATTCCCATCAAGAGAATAGGATTTTATGTACATGAATACCTTCGTAACTCAAAATGCCTGCACTGTACCTCCATTTAACTCGACTGTTTTCGGCCAGTTCATGGAAAACGCTGCCAAAACAGTCACAAAGGAGCGTAACCAACATTGCAAAACTTTTTTTTACAAGTCATTTCTGCCTAACGGACTTTGTCTTTTCATGTTTATTGTCATGTTTTAAGTATAGTGGAACGCCGCTATACCGAACACCACTATACCAAACATTCGGCTGTACCGAACATCATCCATGGCTCCCGGTTTTAATGTACAAACATACCGAACATTGATGTTGGAAAAAGTCAACAGATGAACAAAAAATCTACCGGTTGTATTAAACTCTAATTGGGCCTCTGTTAATTCCCGAATATCAAACCACCCATGGTTACATTGTGATTGAATATTGAAGAGCGATAGATGGCTATTATTTCCCCAAGGAATAAAAGGGAAAACCACTCGTTGAGTTTCGTGATGACTCTTCGTGCGGCCGCGGGATGTGAGAAAATACCAGTTCACTTTTGGTCAAAAGAGGATACCAGCGGTTCAAAATCGCTATACCGAACGACTGTTATTACGAACACTTTCTGTGGATCCCGCGATTTTCGTTATAGCGGCGTTCCACTGTACTTACAACAATATGAAATCTGAGTAAAATTATGCTTTTTAACTAAAAAAATATGCCATTTGAATAAAAGTGAAGAAGGAAAGTGTTCCAAATAACATGTCCATTGCATAGCGAGTGACGCTAGAAGCCATTCATATACATACATACATGTAAATGTAGATTACATGACTATAGTAGACAAATTGGGAACCTTGCTTAAAGGGAATATACATCATTTGCTTTTGCTGTAATTTTCAGAAATGGATGGAATTGGGGGGTTGGAAATATATAGCAAATATAGTTACACTGACTTTTTTGAGGTTTTGGGTTCGAAAATGCTATAAAAACCAAGAAAAACAATCATTTTCCTGTAGTCTGGTTCCCTGACTCCATATATGAAGAAACAGCAGTTTACATACATTGGGGAATTGTAAGGTCAGGGAACCAGTCTAGCTGGCTCGTACCCGTTCATAGGTTTGTAATCGATTGCAAACAAGTGCGATGGTCAATTGGGGCCAGTATTTGAAAACAAAGCCAGTTTTTTTCCAACACTGATCGGCCGATCAGCGTTGGAAATTGATACAAAAATACCACTTTTCTTGAAAATGACAGTATACCAGGTGCCATGATTTTACAGGATGCTTTACACTGTCATTCACTAACAGTCCAGCAAGGTATTTCAAAATGATTTGGTAGTTTTATTTTTTGATGTTTGCAAATGTTGTATTTTCCCTTTAACTGGAACTCCAGATACCTCAAATTTATTATCCATTCCCTTGAGATTCAACTTTATGGGAATCTACTGCACTCTACTTACCTGTAGAGACACTACTAATGCATATTTCCCGAGAGGTTGCAATTTCTTTGCTGAGAGTTCACACAATAGCCAACCCATGTCCCGAGAACCACCACGATCTTCCTCTTTTCTCTTAGCGGTGTTCGAAGGTGAATGTGATATTTTCTTCTATGGTTTCCATCAGGCCAGAATCAACCTGCAACCTTCAGAAGCAACATGAAGTGAATCAGAAACCCCCTTTCAAAATCACGGTTCAAATCACGGTGCAAAGTTTCAAGGGCAAGCTCTCCGATACCTCCAGACAGATATGCCCAACTAGCCTGCGTCATCTGTAGCAAATACAGATGATGTGAGAACAGGCAATTTGCAAATATAGATGATGTGAGAACAGGCAATTTTCCTACTGATTCCCAGGGGCTATGAACAAATATCCCCCCCCCCATGTTGATGATTGATTCAGGGTTAGAATATAGAATTTTTTTAGTGCTCTGGAATTCCAGCTGTTCCACCTTCGTCGAAGTTCTTCCAGAGTCTATCACCCAAAAAGAAAAGGCCTTCAAGTATTAACACTATTCCAATCTGGATCGTCTTCTGACGGTTCATATCACCCAAATAAAAGACACAAACAATCAGAATCTGTTTTCACTGCCTATTTTATGCAATCTTGTTGGCCATGGCATACACGGCCAGTTCACCCCACCACCCTACCACCGTGCTTCTAATGCAGGACATCTTGCCCCGCCTGCGATTCAACTCAATCCCACATGTGGTTCAAGTTGCTTCATACTCGGGCCAACTCACCCTATTTGCAGACCAACTCGGACCCATTACTACCCAAGTACAGGGAAAGGTCACATACTGGGTACCAGTGACCCGGTTCGGGTTCGCCGTGAGCAACGGAATATCCCTCATACACTGAGTCGCCCTAATGCCTCACCGCCAACTATTTCCATTTAGCCGTCTATAAATATCGCCAGTTCAGACAGGGACACTGTGGCAAAAGACGTGAGAATCCATCACATGCACATGGCAGCGTGAATTTTTGCTGGGAAAGTTGAGGCATGTTTCAGAGAGAAAATTCTGTCTGATGAAGATGTTATCGCTATGTGTCACCTCTGTCCCTTGAAAATGCAACTGCGTCTGGTTTTCTGGTTGGGCCTCTTGGTTCAGATTATGCCCAACCTCCATTCTCTTACTTCTTTGTGGGTGTCTTGTCAGGAGAAGGGAAGAGGGTACCACCATTTTAGTAGACATGATACCAGCTGCCTTCTAGTGTTTGAATGAAACCTTACCCATGTCCAAGTAACAGTTTGCTCTGATGTCGGTACTGGCTACTGCTGCCCACAGAAGCAACAATGGAAGCACTGCTTTTCCCTCCTAATGGGGCACGGAAACGCATGTTATCACTGTACCTCTTCTTGGTCGAGATTAATTTGCTGGGAAATTCCTAAGCACAGCTAAGCACATTGACGCTAAAGAACAAATCAATTTTCTCAAGCCTGTTCCCAAGTCAGGGCCAGACTTGAAATCAGTGGCGACTTTTCAAGTTTTCTTGGGATGTCCCATAATGACTTTTTGAGGAAGGTCATGGACCACCTTCCAAAATAGGCCCCGATTATCCAATAGGCACAGTAGGCACTGTGCCTAGGGCCTACGAAAAATTGGGGGCCTACGAAAATACCCCCAAACTATTTTCGTCCCCAAATAAAAAAAACATGGCCTACATTTGATTCTATAGCTCAGAATAGCTGATTGAATGACTCCAAACTCGAAAATGATGTTTAAATGATGATCTTTTGCTTTAAGAAATAATTGGTTAAAGTGGTATAAGAAATTGCTTCAGATTGCACCCCAGAGCCTCTGGAATCCAATTTTTTCCTAAGTTTTTCCAATCCAAGTGCAGGAGGAACTCAACAATATTAGAGCGGAATGGAGTACTCGTGAAGATGGAGCAGAGCGACTGGGCAACACCAGTTGTGGCCGTACCCAAGGCCGCCAAAACTGTTCGACTCTGAGGTAACTACAAAGTCACAATCAACCAAGCCGTTGATCCATTGCCAACCTCACAAGATTGGTACGCAGTACTTAGTAGAGCGAGTGTCTCCACTAAACTGGATTTGTCTCACGCATACGCCAACTCAGCGTCGACAAGGAAAGTCAACTGGTATGAAGTACTCCCAAAAATCTTCCAGTCTGCCATGGATAAAATGTTGCAAGGCATTCCACATTGCGTGTGCAACCAGGATGACCTCCTAATATCCACAAAAGGCATGGAGGAATACCTGGAAATCCTTGAGACCCTTTGATACCTTGGACTCAAAGTAGATGCCAACGGACTTCGCCCTGTGAAGGGGAAGTTGAAGCCATCGTGAATGCTCCAAAGCCCAACAATGTGTCAGAGCTACGATCATCCTTGGAATGGTGCAGATCCATGCACGATTCCTACCGGATTGTTGTAGTCTTTAAGTCAGGATAATGATTCACACAAGACTCATTGTAGGCTTTAACAATGTTGTGTTGTCTAACTCTTATTCTTAACCGTGTGCTCTCAAGTCTCATTTCTTTGTCTTAGCCATCTTATGGTAGCAGACCAGTAAATAAACTTCCATAGACCCCAATGGTAAATGCTCCCACTTCAAAAATTCGGGAAAAATACTCACAACTCTCCAAGGTGTTCGAGACACACATCAAATGAAAGCTTATTTCATCATCTTTCATTTTCTGTTCAATTTACGGGGGGTCAACTGATGACTTTTAGGAGAAATTTCCATCTGAAGACGATCACCCCTGAAAATAGTCCTGAAGCCCATCGCCATTTTGAAAAACGATGCCTACACTCCATTGCAAAATAGAGCGCTTTTAGGGTGCAAATTACATCCAAATTACATCCAAATATTTTTTACAAACCCTCAAGTTCATGGCCCACAGCATGCTCAAATATCAAATTTTGAGGGCATGCAAATCGCGATTTGGCCGGCGCAGGCAATTTCGGACCGATTTACTGGACTGCACCCTTATGTGTGTGGTTATGTGACCTTTCTATACTCTAGTGTATGTGTACTAACTTGAGGTCACATACAGAGGGCGCTGTACCATGTGACCATTAACT